CCAACCGCGAAACGAATGGCATCGTCTTCAAACTCGACGACTGAACAGACGACCTAGTCATCGGCGACAGCATGGAAGAGTGGAATCACAAGCGTTCCACCTTCCGCCTAGAACCGGTTTCCGGTCAGGTATGGTCCAGGACATCCGAGCCCCGGCACATCCGATTCAAGCCCTCACATCGATCGCGCCGACAGCTGTGGTCAAGATAGAAGCAGCGGGCCGCCTACATTTGGTTCGAGCCGTAATTGATGCGTGCGCTTCGACGTCCATAATCGCCGAAGATTTGGCGAGGGAATTAAATCTTGGGATAACTGCAATAAATTCCCAAAGGGGCTACTTCATTAAGTTGAGAGGAAAGCATGGACAGTCAGCCACCGTCACGACGCACGCAATTTCCATCAAACATTATCGGAAGCGGACACCAAATACTAGTTTGGACGCTACCGTAGTCGCCGCTTATTCGAACCTGAGGCTCGCGGACCCGCGCTTCCACATCGCAGCGCCAGTCCGCTTAGTATTAGGCGCCGAGGTCTTCCCCAAAATCCTGCTCGGCGCAATTCCTGCGGGTACTCTCGGCCCGCTATTAGCACAGAACACCATCTTTGGATGGGTCCTGTCGGGCGCGTGTTGAACTTTTTTTTTCTTCGCAATCTTTTACCAAAAATGAATTAAATACACACTGAATTTGATACTTATTTTATTGAATAAATGTGCAGTTGAATTTTTGAAACCCACGTCTTTAAATAATACTTTCTTCTACCTTACAGAGTTTAGGTACATGGACAACGGCAACGAAGAACATTTACATTATTAGATAATTTTTTTAAAATTAAGGAGTTAATTGGAACATAGTGGCCGGAACACGTGGAATTCAGATTTTTCGCTTCGCAAAGGGGGCCGGCATGTTTAGGCCAACGGCCTAAATTTGTCGCAGCATTTTCGACCCACCCTAATGCTTAACATAACTTCATTATTATGTCAACTGTCGAACTGTTTACCACTATGTTACTTATGCTAAAATGTCCCTTCGGTAAATATACAGTTCGACAGGCAACAGTAAGAAGAAATTTCAACCGGTCACTTACTTGTTTTCCGAGAGTGAATCCAAGAGGACGTGTTCCAGCCATTGTGTTCCTGAGTCAAATCAAAGGTAACCTGTAAAACCAAATATATACATACATATATTAATACCAATATCGATATTGAATAAACACGAATTTATATTTAATATTAATACAAACGTTTTTGCT